CTCTATAAGTTCAGTCCATTTACCATTTTACCATTTAAGTGTAAAATCCCTTTGTTTTAGTGAAGAGTGTTCAGCAGCAGCTCCAGCCACAACCTTTTTGGGTTCAGATGGAAGCAGTTTCATACACTGGATTAGTGAATTGTTTTTTGTCATTCTTCTTTAAAATCCACTCTTTCTAGTTGGATGAGAGCTATTTTCATGTCTCTCCACAGATGTTCAACAGAGTTCAAAATAACTCTGGTTGGACCACTCTAGGTACTCAGTGTTGTCCCTAAGATGTTCTAGTGTTGTCTTCAATTAGAGATTTGGGTCACTGCCATGTTAGAAGATGAATCTGAGGTTCTTCGTTGTGGATATCCCTGCACTTTGCTCTTTGAGCTTGACCTCATCCCAGACCAGTTTTCCAGGCCCTGCTGCTAAGAAACATCCCACATCATGATGCTGCCACAACCATGCTTCACCGCTGGGATGTTGTTGCACAGGTGATGATTGGTGCCTTGATTCCTTCAGACATAACATTTAGAAATGAGGCCAACAGTTCAGTCTTGGTTTCGTCAGACCAAAGAATCTTGTTTCTCAAAGTCTGAGAGTCCTTCAAGCCATTTTCAAGAGTTTTACATTGATTTTTCAGTTCAGCCACTCTGCTGTGAAGCATAGATCAGAGAAGGCCTCATGGTTATTATCCATCTGGAACTTACCTTGCATTCCAGTTTTATTATAGCCTGGCCCTTGCCTCCCTATGCAGCTCCGCTCAATTGAAGTTTCCCTTCACTGCTCTATCTGGGATTTCTCCCATAACCAAGGATTTCTTCAGGAGCATTTCATTCGGGCCAAATCAAAGAATAGGACGTCAATTTTCTGCGCAGTGTCTGCTTGTAGTTTATTTTACCTGGGCCAATCAGCAAACAGAAGGCGGAGTTTTGAATGACGTTGATTTTCTGCACAATGTCTGCTAGTTAGTTTAGCACACGGCAGTGGAGGAAGTGAATGAAGCCAGTCTGTGTTGATAAGGCTTCGAAATTAAATTAAATTTGTCTGACAAAGCAGTAACTCTCATTTACAGTCGTCTCGTTTGGCTCAGTACTTCTCTCCTCTCAGTAGGATTGTTTGCAGTACACACGATTTCCGGTTAGCTTCTTAGCCTAGCCTCCTTCACAGTGGAGTTGGCACTTGTGGCCAACCGATCCAATCATTTTAAACTTCAACAGAGGCCACGCCTACAGCTAGAATCGCTTCTCTACAGCCGAGAGTCCAGACCCTCGTATGAGGCAAAATGAAGGACAAGGGTCTGGTTTTTACCAGGCTAGTTTTATTATTATCCTGGGGTAAGAATGTCAGACATTCAATAAAATAAATATTAACTGAAACATCCCCATGTCTCGATTTCGAGTTGGGAATTTGGTGCCACATGACCATACCTGACCATGCATGATATCATCATTTCAACAAGACTGCTCCTGGCATCAACAATGAGTGAAACTCTTATGCTGCGTTCACACCGAACGCGATTTCAGCTTCAAAATCGCAGCCAACNGCCCCATATGAACAACCTGAAAACAGAACTGTGTTCAATTCAGCTAATTTACTAAAATAAAGAACCTATACATACATACAGAACCTCTTCAGTGTCATGTAAATATCACATTTATGTAACTGATGGTGGTCAGAGGGTCCGGTGGTGTCGGTGCATGGCAGCCCCGCCTCTTTCAGTGTGCCCCAGGGCAGCTGTGGCTACAATGTAGCTTACCATCAKCAGTGTGTCAATGGGTGAATGTAAGTGTAAAGCATTTTGGGGTCCGGAGGGACTTGATCAAGCGCTCTATAAGTTCAGTTCATTTACCATTTTACCATTTAAGTGAACAATCCCTTTGTTTTAGTGAAGAGCGTTCAGCAGCAGCCCCAACCACAATCTTTTTGGGTTCAGATGGAAGCAGTTTCATACACTGGATTAGTGAATTGTTTTTTGTCATTCTTCTTTAAAATCCACTCTTTCTAGTTGGATGAGAGCTATTTTCAGGTCTCTCCACAGATGTTCAACAGAGTTCAAAATAACTCTGGTTGGACCACTCTAGGTACTCAGTGTTGTCCCTAAGATGTTCTAGTGTTGTCTTCAATTAGAGATTTGGGTCACTGTCATGTTAGAAGATGAATCTGAGGTTCTTCGTTGTGGATATCCCTGCACTTTGCTCTTTTGAGCTTGACCTCATCCCGGACCAGTTTTCCAGGCCCTGCTGCTAAGAAACATCCCACATCATGATGCTGCCACAACCATGCTTCACCGCTGGGATGCTGTTGCACAGGTGATGATTGGTGCCTTGATTCCTTCAGACATAACATTTAGAAATGAGGCCAACAGTTCAGTCTTGGTTTCGTCAGACCAAAGAATCTTGTTTCTCAAAGTCTGAGAGTCCTTCAAGCCATTTTCAAGAGTTTTACATTGATGTTTCGGTTCAGCCACTCTGCTGTGAAGCATAGATCATTGAAGGCCTCATGGTTATTATCCATCTGGAACTTACCTTGCATTCCAGTTTTATTATAGCCTGGCCCTTGCCTCCCTATGCAGTTCCGCTCAATTAAAGTTTCCCTTCACTGCTCTATCTGGGATTTCTCCCATAAACAAGGATTTCTTCAGGAGCATTTCATTCGGGCCAATCAAAGAATAGGACATCAATTTTCTGCGCAGTGTCTGCTTGTAGTTTATTTTACCTGGACCAATCAGCAAACAGAAGGCAGAGTTTTGAACGATGTTGATTTTCTGCGCAGTGTCTGCTAGTTAGTTTAGCATACGGCAGTGGAGGAAGTGAATGAAGCCAGTCTGTGTTGATAACGCTTCCAAATTAAAACAAATTTGTCTGACAAAGCAGCAGCTCTCATTTACAGTCGTCTCGTTTGTCTCAATACTTCTCTCCTCTCAGTAGGATTGTTTGCAGTACACACGATTTCCGGTTAGCTTCTTAGCCTAGCCTCCTTCACAGTGGAGTTGGCACTTGTGGCCAACCGATCCAATCATTTTAAACTTCAACAGAGGCCACGCCTCCAGCTAGAATCGCTTCTCTACAGCCGAGAGTCCAGACCCTCGTATGAAGCAAAGCGAAGGACAAGGGTCTGGATTTTACCAGGCTAGTTCTATTATTATTATCCTGGGGTAAGAATTTCAGACTTTCAATAAAATAAAAATTAACTGAAACATCCCCATGTCTCGATTTCGAGTTGGGAAGTCGGTGCCACATGACCATACCTGACCATGCATGATATCATCATTTCAACATGACTGCTCCTCGCATCAACAGTGAGTGAAACTCTTTCTTTAACCAGGTTTTAGCAGTTCTGTGTTGTTTACCTTGCATTAAGTCAGTTGTACTTGTAGTATTTTATAATGATTATTAGGCAATAAGTTTTAACAGTGTTTGTACAGTCAAAATGCTGCATAGAGCGCTATTGTTATGTGTTATTGTTATGTTATTCTGTTAAGAGCAAAGAAATACAAAYRATTTTTGCAACATTCTGACAAGCTGGAAACTGTCACTCTGAACTTTGCAAAYAGTGCCTTTGACCTCATGGCTTGGTTTTACATCTGATTAYCAGCTAGGAGGCATGTGCTTTTCCAAATTACGTCCAATCGTTTTAGTATAGCACAGGTGGTTTATTTCAAATAATGGTGTAAAAACATCTCAACRAAGAACAGGAAAAATWGCAGTTTCTTGGACTAAACAAGTGTTCTTGCATGTAATGGTTTATTTTTCTKTTTACTAAATCCACAAAATAGTATAGAATATTACTTTTGTAGTTATGGGGTACTGAGCGTAAATTAYTAAGACATAAAGATGAGTTTAAACTAATGATGGTACCACAGGTCTGTTCACCAAAAGGCCAGTCTCTTCAGAACTAGGTGTGTTTCCTTAAGGCAGATGTAGATGTGTTCAGGACTCGRGGTCTATCCTGCCACAGACACGGCAGCCTTCATGTGATGTGCACTCACTCTGTTAACAGTTAACTCACTTGTGCTGCTGCCTGGAAAGCATCTGTTCCTGATAAGTTTGCTTTAACAGAGTTAGAGGATGGAAACAAAAACACTTCTTTATTTTAWTCACTGGGTGATCAGAAGCTTTCAAATGCACAAAGAKACTATACCRGCCTAAAGTCTGWTTTTTATGATACTACACAATTCTGATACTTATTTCACATATAAAAATGTCTAAGAGTGWGTTCGTCTAATTATCACAGCTTGTGATGTGGAATCTTTGCTGTATCTCTGTACCTTTATAGGTTTTTCCACGTCACCTGCACAGAGTGTCTGGATTGGAATTCTGAATGGTTTCCATACTGGGTTTAGGTTGTTTTTCACCACCTAAACAAACAAAATAAAATAAAATAATAAACTCAAGAACAATTGCACTATATTAACTGTATGGACATCAAACACATAGTGGTTATCACTCTACTAACACAAAGACATCCTGACTAAGAATCGCTGAGGCAGAAACGTAGAACACGATAAACACATCTCTACCTCTGTCCTGTGAGCCAGCTGCCATCCTGTTTCTAGCTGCTTGTAGATTTCCAGGAAAGGGTCMGACTTGCCAAAGAAATCCTGACAAAAATGAAAAAAGGGCACATAAAAGAAATGCACAAGAGCAAGAGTTCACAAATGAATCAGACGTCAGCCAGGGTTCCTACAGTTTAAGGCAAGTTA